CTGAAAGGAACTGTCAAGTGCAATAAAAAAAAGTATTTAGAGTGAACTGACATGTTATTTAAAGCCCATTTCAACTTATTATAAGTGGAAATGAATAGCAAATAAACATTTTCAAGCAGCTTTTAGTTGTGTTTCATGGAACACACTTTGTACAATATGAATTGCAGTTCTCTGATTTCTGTGTGTCACTCACTAATGTACTGCCAGCTGGCAGCAGTTGGAAGAGGCGCAGGAGTCCAGCACCTTGTGCCCCGGTGATCTCCCATTAGCTGCCCGACCTCTTCTAAGTGATACAGTGTTTATCCTTTCATCTTGTTGCTTCATAGAACCCTGTTCTTGTGTCTTGCAGGTCCTTGATAATCTCGACAGCCATTTAAAGGCTTCAGAATACTTTCGCTTCTACTGGTTCCCACACACGGAAAATGTCAGCGTCTATTATCAGGACCCCACAGACAAGGTATGGTACTGATTAGAGTTTACACTGATTAAGATATTTGCTCTGGGTGCTGTTCTCCCCACAATCCTGTTCATTGTTGGACATCCCCTGTCCAGTTCCAGCAGTCACAGTGTATACATCTGATGTATATTGAGGTGTACAGAGGGATAATAATAATCCAGGAGAAGCACGGAGCGCTGTAAAAGAGATGGATCACAAGACAAAGACACACTGCTACCCGGGGATCTCAAAACAATGACGCGCTAAACCTTGGGGGGAAAAAAATATGACCTACTGACACCTGGAGACCCGACACGATAACCTATTGACACCTGGAAACGCAACACAATGACATACAGACACATGGAGACCCAACACAACGGCCTACTGACATCTGGAAACCCAACACAATTACATACTGACACCTGGAGACCCAACACAATGTCATACAGACACATGGAGACCCAACACAAAATCCTACCGACACCTGGAGACCCAACACAATGGCCTACTGGCACCTGGAGACCCAACACAATAACCTATTGACACCTGGAGACACAACACAATGACATACAGACACATGGAGACCCAACACAACGGCCTACGGACATCTGGAAACCCAACACAATTACATACTGACACCTGGAGACCCAACACAATGACATACAGACACCTGGAGACCCAAAACAATGTTATACAGACACCTGGGAGACCCAACACAAAGACCTGCTGACTACACATGTGCGATTCGTTCAGAATCGAAATTCGGACGAATTTTCGGAAATTCGGACATTCGAATGTATCCGAATTCCAGATGTAACGAATGCAAACGAATCCGAATTTCCGTTTACGAAATTCATTAGTGGTAGTCCGTTCGAACGTTCGTTTTGTTTTTGTTTCTTATTCGGTTCGTTCATACCAAACGAAACGAAACACATTTTTTGCCAGTGCACATGTCTACTACTGACACCTGGGGACCGAGCACAATGGCCTACTTACACCTGGAGACCCAACACAATAGTCTACTTACACCTGGAGACCCAACACAATGACATACAGATACCTGGAGACCCAACACAATGACCTACTGACACCGGAGACCCAACACAATGACCTACTGACACCTGGGGTTCCAACACAATGACCTACTGACACCTGGGGTTCCAACACAATGACCTACTGACACCTGGAGACCCAACACAATGGCCCTTTGGAGCCACTTGCTGTCTTCATGTACTTCAACGAAGGCTGCATGCCATTTCTCAGGGTGGATTTCCTGAAGGCCACAACAGTGGTCCATGTCTGTGTAATGTATGCTGATATGGCCACTTGTAGCCTCCATTTGAAGCCCTAGTGACAGGGTGACAACGCAGAAGCACAACTGGAAGACAGACATAGAGCATTGTCACTTTATGAAAGGATGTGCCTGAACAAAAGACCTTAATGGCAGGATACACCCCAGAAGCTTTGCCTTAAAGTGCAACTGAAGCCAAAACGGTTTGTTTTTGGCTTCAGTTCTACTTTAAAGTTTAGATTAGACATCCAACCCCCCGAGAACTTTCTCTGTGTTGTTCTGCCTCATGATGAGTTTAGCAGACTTTTCCTATCGCAATGCTTTACAATGGTAATATATGCAGCTCATTTCACACTGGGCAGAAGACAAAGTGTGAAGGATTTCCTGCAGATTAATGAGAATTGGAATTGTGAATGCCTTCTCTTTATAAATGATCCGAGGCCGGGCAGCCTCATTGTCCTCAAAGCGGAGAATGAACGCCATAGATGACGAATTGCTGTGTCGGAATAATTTCTCTGCCTCTCTGATTGCCCATTACGCTATGACTTGGCTGCGGACGGACGTTCATTAATTAACGGAGAAAAGTCCTAATTCTTTATTTCTTCTTCTCCTCCAGCCTCCATCTTTCAAAACCAGTTGGTTCTGGGACTGTTTTGTGGGATATTACCTGCTGGAGCTCCTCCTCTGGATAAGGTACCGTGATAAGATTTGCAGGTTGTTTATGTTTACCCTTTTTGGTCGCCTTTGGTACCCGTACATGGTTAGATCTATCCAGGAGAATAATGGATGGTCCATTGCCGAAATTGGGCACCAATGGGCCAGTCAAGTCTTTTTATCATCGAGGATGCCGCCATCTTTGCTCAGGCATCATCGAGGATCAGCCTCCACTTCCAGGGGGCGGCTCTTTTTGTTAAACGATACTGTTGCGGTATAAAGTGACACACCAGGAATTCATTCTCGTAAATTCAATGGTCATTTTTTAAGTGTATTCAGGGCTGGATTTCCCACAAGGCCAACCAAGGCCCAGCCTTGGGGCAGCAGGGAGTAGAGGGGCAGCAGGGGTGTGGAATTCCTATCTCCCGATGCCCGGGCGGGTAGTTGTTTTCTACATTTAGCCCTGCTTTGGGCAAGCAAAACTAAATGTACAGCGGGGAAGTCTCTGCTTGTTTTGTACAAGTGGTCTCGGCACTCGGGACATGCAGTTCCGGGCCACGGGCGGGTAGTTGTTTCAATGTCGCCGAGATCACTTGTATGCAGCCTTCAGGTCTGCCATTCTCCATGGGGGGGTT